CTCTACTAAAAACACAAAAATCAGCTGGGTGTGGTGGTGCACGCCTGTAGTCCCAGCTATTTGGGAGGCTGAGGCAGGAGAATCACTTGAACCCAGGGGGCGGAGATTGCAGTGAGCTGAGATTGGGACATTGCACTCCAGCCTGGGTGACAGAGCGAGACTCTGTCTCCAAAAAAACTTTTTAAAGTTATCACCATCTCCTACTCCCACCCAATGAGTAGAGCTTAGCCAGGTAAAAGGGAAGGGAGAAAAGAGAACTTTCTAAACTCATAGTGCTAGCCAGTAGGGGCATCGGGATGTAAACCACCGGACAGTTCTCCCTCCCCATGCAGCGGGCCCAATTCGCTATGGAGACCTGCTGCCTTCCCTGGGACAGTGTGACACATGGATGTCCTGTAACTCAGCAGTCCAGGAGTGGGCCTCTATCTCCTCAGTGCCTACAGAAGAGGGCCTGCACTCCTTCCCCATGGAAAGCATGCCCATGGCTCACCTTGGTGGCATGAGAAGCGGTGAGTTCTCTGATGAGCTCTTCGAGGGCCCCACCATTCCGGCCACAGAGCACCAGCTTAGCACCAGCAGCATAGAAGACTTTTGCACATTCTAAGGGAAGAGAAAAGAGCCCTGACAGCCATTCTTCCCCAGCGCCGTTCAGTGTAAATTCACCCAGTGTTGCTGTTTGCTGCTTCACACCCTTGACATGTCTGTGTTGGCCCCTGCTTGTGGTCCAGCATGGAGCTGGGAGCTAGGGTCCAGTGCAGGGCTCACACCCAGTGCTACAGACATCCACAGGGCAAAAAGAAAGGCAGGCCGAGGTGGACAGATGTGTTAAGTATCATGCTCAGAACGCCCCATGATACTCCTGTTCACCTGGATCAGCTGTGAGCATCACCTATCTTCACAGCTAAGGGAGCTCAGCAAGGTCACTCAGGCAGAGGCTTGTCCTGATTGACAAGGACAGTCAGGGCCAGCTATTATGGTGCTGTGCCCTGCCAAGGCTGTGTGGTGGCACTACCCAGGCACAGCTCTCCTGGAACTACTCACACAGTCCTGTAGAAAAGCTGGGGCAGAGGACCGAGGCCCTTCCCAGGTCTGATGGGCTGTTTCCGAGGGAGTGCTTGAGGCAGAGGGAGCAGACTGCCTGAGGGGCCACAGGCAGATGGAGCTGGGACAGAAGGTGGAGGGTCTAATAGCCTCACTGGCTGGGGAGGGGTCAAGGCAGTGCGCGCAAGTACCTGCCACACGCAGGACTATTAAGGATGCCTGCCTTTGAAAAGGCTCAGTCCTGCTGGGCGGGAGGGAGTGGGGACACTGGAGGAAAGCAGACTCCACCAAGCCCGCTGCACTATTTCAGGGGACAACCTGTGAGGACTTCAACTAAGACCACAGCAGGGACAGTCCAAAGCTAGCCAGACACGTGGTCTATATCCTTTTGGTGGCAAGAAACAGAAACTAAACTCACACTGGGGCAAAGCAAAAAGAGAATTTGCCAGAGGGATTGTGGGGAAGTTCAAGAATGGAGAGGAGCGCCGGATGGCCGAAACCTAGGAAGGACCCAAGTGCTGGCTGCCCGGGTGCTCTCACACGTGGACAGGCCCCAGAGCTCACATGCACGGTTTTGTCTTGTCTCTTTCCAGCTCCGATCAAATCCCAGGGAAGGCCATGATCAGCCCTGAGTGGGGGTTATCACAGGTAATTCTCCTGCGGCTAAGCAGGAGAGCCTGACGAAAAATCCCCTGGACACAGGAGGGTAAACCACCAGAACTGGGGGTGGGGGACTAGTCTGTGGGGAGTCAGAAAGGAAACGGAGTGACGGCAGGAGGGGAGGCAGAGAGGGTGGTGGTGTTGCTTCTTGCTTACCCTCCCCTGCAACATATCCTATAGAAATGTTCAGTGCCCCGAAAACGTCCATACAGCTTATGAAAAGCAGGACAGCCCAGCGGCCAAGAGAATGGACTTGAGCTAGACTTCCAACTCCGGTTAGAACTTCTTTGTTTCTGACTTTCCTCTTATTTAGGACGCTTTTTATCTATCAAGCACAGTAGTAAGCGATTACCTGCCTTAACTCATTCAGCCCCTGAGGGTGTGACTGTGAGACTGAAATGAGTTAAGGCAGGAATCTCTTACCACAGTGTTAGATAAACAGCACCTGCAGTGTCAATTGTCATTTTTGTATTTCTATTTATTAAAAAAAAATTTTTTTTTTTTTTTTAGAGACAGGGTCTTACTCTGTTGCTCCGGCTGGAGTGCAGTGGCACAATGATAGTTTACCGCAGCCTCGAACTCCTGTCCTCACCTGAGGCGTCTCCCTCAAGTGCTCACCAGCAGATCTGCACAGGACACCTTGGCCCCTGGCTGACCCTGACCTGACACCAGTGAGCCACTGACTTGGTTCTAGATGGAATCTTAAGAGGCCCAGGTGATTAGGTGGTGCTCTAGCTCCTGGTTCATGGAAAGGAATGGCCTTTGCAGGCTAGTTCCATCTCTAGGAGCCATGTGGTGAGGGGCCAATGCTGCAGGCTTGGAGCATCAGGGCTGCCACCTCCTCAGCTGGAAAGGAAAGGTCAGAGGGGCAGGCGGTGTGTACTGGTCTGAACAGGCCTGCCCTTAGAGAAGTGTCCAATTTCCTTAAAGCTAGATGGGTTCCAAACAGGGGAGGAGAAGAAACTCCAGCATCCTTCAGGACCAGGGGTCCTGAGAGGCCTGAGGAAAGGCTCCCTGATGTCTGTCTCATGGTGTGAAGCCTCCCTGTGCTCCACAGCTTCTTGTTCAGCTCCCTACACAGCATTTGCTCACCCCCCAGGCGCCTCTCCACACACCCGACAGTCTTTGGGAAAGAGGTGTTAAGTAGACTTAATCTAGACACACCATCTTCTTTGATGGAGATGAGGTTGGTGTGTTCCTTGGCTCATCCCGACAAAGGGTGGAAGCCCAGAGAGAGCACCCACCCTGGGTAGTGAGGCCTGGTCCCAGCGCCCCAACCCTGCCTGCCCTGGTCCTCTTCTCAGCAGAGCAGCAAAGCCCCTACAGGAATGAGGCGGGTGGTGGCTGCACTCCAAGCCAGATGCCAGCATTCCTGAGGCTAGAACTGTTCATCCGGTTTATAAATCATTCCCAAAGGCTAGGAACCTTGGGTCCTGCTGGCTGCCTCACCCCATTTGGTCTTGTCCTGACCAATACATAGGACATTTGTGAGGTGCCACCAAAGGGTGCAGACACAGAACCCTGCAAAGGTGGGAGTCCCGCTGGAGTCTAAACTGCTTTGGGGAATTGACTGCCTCAATTCTGTTTGAGTTTTGCTTCCGAGCAAAGCTAAAAAGAGAGGAAATGAAAGTTTGTGTAGGGAGTGACAGAAATGAAAACAACAGATTGGAAGGATTCCATTTTCATTTATTGAAAAGCTGATACTGGAAGGTCGGAGGGTCCAAGGAAAACAGCTCCAAGGTACATACGTGAAGGGCTGCAGATGACTGTCCAGTGCCGCTGGCACGCCTAGCTGGAAATCAAGAGAGCTGTGCACAGCCCTGTGGCTAAAGCTGGAGGAAGCAGATATCCAGAATGTTCTGTTCCTTTAGTCAGTGGTCCCACACTATTCTACAAGGACAAGCTCAAGAGGCTTAAATACACAAAACAAGAGACAAGATAGGAGAAATACGAAAAACTGAAGACTCATTGCATAACTCCAGACCTTCTGAGTGGCTGACACGGCAGGCAGAGCCACTGAGGGCAACATAGCTCTGCCTCCTCACAGAAGCAAGGCAACAGCAGCACGTCCTTGGGGACATCAACAGTGGCTGTACTTGACATGGCCGGTTAAGAATCTGCTCTACCTTATCTGGATGGAGGAACTCCTGTTCCCAAAAAGTAAAATGGGGCAGAATACAAGCAGTGACTGGAATCCAGGAAGGGCCTGACATCTTATGATACACAGACAGGTCTGGTGACCTCCGTGATATTTTCTGTTCCCTTCATAGTCTTGGTGTCAGGAGAGGAGATGCAGAATGAAGAGGACAGCTTGTTTCTCAAACATTCACGGATGGGAGCACCCGCGACCCAGAGCTCCACCTCTGCCAGCCCTCAGATGCTCTTCAAGGACTTCCACAAAATGCTTCTCTTTGAGCTCAAGAGAAGTGGCTGCTGACCACCCTATATATAGCAACTGAGTAAGGTCAGAGGACTGACGATGGCAAAGGGCCTGCAGACAGCTGTCCCTGCAAAGGTCTGGCTATCCAATGACAGACACGGTATTTACCCCTGGAGACCTCACCTAACATCCACAGTGGTGCATAAATGAATCCATACTCCCTAAAGCCTTCCCAGGCCACCCCTGGCCAACTGCAGGCCACTTCCACCACAAAGACCCATCTGCTTCTCTGTGTTCATGCAACACCCAACTGTTTATAAGTCCCTGCGGGACCGTGCTTCTCCCACCTCCGGGCCTGTCTGGAATGTTCTGTCTACCAGCCCACCTATTCCTTTTACCCGGCCATCTCCCCTGCTGCAGCTTTGAGACTTGAGTTCTAGAGACAGAGAGATGTGGGTTGGACTCTTGGTTTTGTACTTTCTGGCTGGAAGTCCTAGTCATTCTTTCTCTGAATCTTAGCTGTGAGAAGTCAGTGAGATAATGCATGTAAAAATGCTTAGCACAAGCCAGCACATATACACGTGCCTTGTCGCCCCCGGGCTGGTTTGGGAGCATATGTTACTGCAATGGCAATACAGTGAGATAAGTCCTTGCCTTTCTCCTTACAGCAGTCAACTGTGACCTCCTTCAAGGAGGGGACCCTGTCTTTCATCTGTTTGTTCTAGAACCTGACCCAGAGCCTCCCACTTAGCAGGCGCTCCATCAGCTCCAGCTGAGCTATCACCGACCAGAAGACGTAGCAGCGGGTGGGTCACCACAATTCAGGGAACTCCTCAGCCTTCTTCCATGGAACTCAGCGTGAGCGTGGATGGTAGATGGTATGGTGTGTGCATGTGCAATGTGCTAAGTCAATATACATGTGTGGCAAGAAAACAACGGAGCCCTGTAACTCAGAGGCTTCCAGAAATGGGAGAAGGGGGAACCCAGGTTTTGGCATTCCGGGCCAGGGTCCTGGTACACCATTCCTGAGACTTAGAAGCTCATGGTGTTCACTGGGTTGGAATGGACCTAGACTGGAGACCCTGGAACAGCTGAGGCACCATTTATCCTGTCTTTGACCTTGCCGAGACCATGCTGAGGGGACAGCTGGGGGCCTGGCCTGGGAAGGCAAGGCCCAGAGAAAGCGTGCACCAAAGCTGTGAACCGGAGGTCCTGGCTCAATCTAGGAAAGGACATGTTTCATTTGGTCCTCATAGAGGTAAAAACACATTTTAAGTTAGCTGTCCGTATTTGGAAATTGGGAGATTTCACATAAAATTCCTACCTCAGCAAGCAGCTGGGGCTGAGCAGGGCTGCCCTGTGAGGGGCAGGCATCCCATCCCATCCCACCCCACCCCACCCCACCCCTGGGGCCAGGCTGCTTCTCTCACGCTTGCCTCCCACCCTGACGCTGAGTCATTTCTCACTGTGCTTTGGCTCCTGCTTTTCCCACTTGGACCAAGGACAGTGCCATCCAGCCCACTTCCCTCATCTGGACTTCTGCTGCCGCTTTGGGCATTTGCGCTGGTGGTCCCTGTGCAGCTGGGCCGCTCCCCATCGCTGGCTGACTTCCCCCCGCCCCCCGGCAGCATGGCCTCCAGCACCCACCTTTGCCCAGCCCTGAGGTGGCGCCTGTGATCACCACCACAGCATTCCGCAGGTAGGCCTTCCCGCGCACCCACTGCAGCAGCCGGAAGAGGCCGAAGACGCCCAGGCAGCCGAACAGCAGGGGCAGGATGGCTGTGGAGGTGATGAAGTCCATGGCCCTCGCCTTTGGCAGATTCTTCCTGGGAGAACCAAAACCAAACACACCAGTGACAAAGTAGCAGAGCTCAGGGGACTTTCCTAGGCTCTTCCTCTCATCGGATACGAATCCTAGATCTCCCTCTGTGGACCCCAGAAAGTACTGACCCAGGCCCTGCACCCTCGGCTGACTGTTGAGCATTGTGGAACTTTCTCCCTCTTAGTACTGACATGAGCAGACAGAAAAGCCACAGGCCTCATGCTGCCCCTCAGGGAACACGCGGAGAATGCCATTCAGCCTAGGATGTAGTCACCCACAGTGTTACAGGAAGAGGTGGCGTGTCGGTACTCACCTGCCTCTCCTTCGGAAACCTGTGTTGGCCTTAACCTCAAGTAACGCCTGTTTTCATTTTCACTCCCTGAATACTTGTGAAACTAGAAGGGGGTTTTTTTGAGGAAAGGAAAAAGGAAATCGTACCAATTCTTATCCTCTTCAGAGCAGACACTCAGAGGATGGACGTTTCTGGGTGGAGCAGCCCCTAGATTGTTACAGTGAGGGCCACAGATGGACTTCTGACCACAGGCCTCGCAGACACCCAAAGGGGATTCAGTGCAGGGCCCTGCCCCAGGCACCAGCGTGGGCTCCGGCTGGTGAGCGTGTTGCCCTGCTGTGCCTGTGGCATGTTCCTGCCCAGCATTCCCCAGTGAGCCGTGAAATCCGCAGGCTGTGCGAGTGTCTGTGCAACAGTGTGCAGTTGATTCTTGGGAAATGTGTGTTTTTCCCCACCTGCCCTTATTTCCCCTGAACCTCCCGCATTCTTCCACATTCACCTGTCCCCCTGTGCCCAAAGCAGGAGATAAGAGGGGGACACAGGGTTAAAGGAAGGCCGAGGAGGAGCTGGTGAGGACCGTGGTGAGCACCATGTGCTGTCGCTGGGAAGCCATGCCCTGGAAGGCCACTGGATGAGTGAGCCAGCGTCTATGAGACAAAAGGCCCCCAACGGTCCACCTCCAGGGCTGTGGTTTACAAGCACAGCATCCTTCTCAGGAAGGAAAAGGCTGGAATCCAAGAAGAGAGTTCTGGCAAGCCAGCCTGTAGCTCTAAATTATTCATCAGCTTGGAGCAATGATGTAAAACCCTCACTCACCTACTTAATATCCCATCTCAAGCCCACACATTAAAAAAAAAAAAATTCTGCTTCCTTTCCTAAGAGGACATCAAACTCTGGATGCCAGAGTGAGGCCAGGAACACTGTGGACTCCCAACACGCATCCATCTATGCACCAAGTCGCTTTGATCCTGAAGTTCATGTTCAGGGTGGCTGCCCTGATCTATACTAAACCGCCCCCTACAAGAGGATTCTACTGCAACTGGAACTGTCAAGTCAACTAGTTTAGCATTTACTTTTTCACCTGCTTTTCCAGATACGCCTGAATTCTTAACCACCGTAAAAAACAGCCACATTCTCGGACTGTAAAAATGACAGTTTCCCACCGACCGCCACTCAATCCACTTCTGAAAACACCTCAGCTACTATCTGCTGTGTGGATAAAGCTCCCTCTTGCCCTACACTATGCCAAGCCTCCGCTGGATGAACTGGGGATTAAAGTGGCATCTAAAGCACCAAGCTCTTCACCCAGGCACTACTGGTAGCATCCCTGCCCCAAGAGGAAGCTCTGGCCAGGTGTTCTTGCCTGCAGGCTATGCTGGGTCCCAAGGACCCTTTGTCTGGAATCTGAGATGTGCTCAGGAAAGGTGTAGGGTAGGCACTGAGGCCTGTCCTACTCCAGGGTTCTGTGGGTGCTGTCTGAAGTCCTGCACAGGACCAAGATCCTGAAAACAGGGAATGTGGGAGGGTTTCCCAGGGGAAGGAGGGATAGACGGTGGGAGGCAGGAATGGTTGCCAGTTTGTTGATATAGCTTTACCGGAAAATTATAGCAATTGACAAAAGGCAAGAGAAGGCTCGAGGTAAGGATAGTTTAAAACTTGCATATAATAAGCTGGTTGAGGGGTGGGGGCTTAGGAAGAGTTAACGCGGCTGGATGGCTATTTGGTAAAAGCTTTTTTCCCACTGCAATCACAGGTCTTTGTACCAGGTAGGTCTCAGGGTAGGACCACCCTGCCTTGTCCAGAATGGCCCAGGGCCCAGCCACTGCCCAGGATGAGCTTGAGGTACAAAAGGGGTAGGGGCCTCAGCTCAGGGAAGGATAGTAGGCCTCAGCCTCTGGGGCTGGGACCCGGAGCCCCACTAGGTGTGTTGGGTGGAAACCCCTCTGAACACTCCGCCATGGCCCCTGGAGGCCAGAGCCTGTGACGTCCGCCCCATTTCAAACCGACGACCTAGGGCTGAGGCAGAACGCCGCTGAGGTCATGGGGGTCAAGAGCCAAGTATGCAGTCTGTCGCTTCGCAAAACCCAGAGGCCACCTGAAAAACACTAACTGCAGCACAACAGTGGCAGTGCAGGGGTCATGAGGATGAACCCTCAAGCCAGCCTGGCTTGGGTGACACCCTGGCCCAGTCACTTGGCAGCCTGGCAAAGAGGCCTGACTGCCCTGGGCCTCAGTGTCCTCATCTCTGAGCTGAAGTTATGAGAGGACCTCCCTCCTGGGTTTATTACGATGTTGGATGAATTCATCTGTGTGCACAGAGGGAACACAGCTGCCACCAGCATCATCATGATCACGACTACCTCGAAGTTCCTGGACCAGGACCTCACCTCCCAGCAATCAGGCTCCCAAGGCTGTCTGAAGGGACCCCTGGCTCATTAAAGGAAGCTCATTAAATGTATTAAGTGTCCAATGTTGTTTAACTTCCATATCTTCATCAACCCTTCAGTTTAATCAAATTAACCAATAGGAAAAAGCTCCATCCACAACATTGGCAGAAGTCAGAAGTCAGGCTCTCGTGTCCCAAGTTTTGTGTTAGAAAACGTGGTTATCAAGGCCAGCAAAGCAGGAGAGAGCAGACAGGTACCAAAATGTCCCTCAACCCCGTTTTCACACCCAGGGAGGAGTAGGATGAAAATAAGCCAGCCCAGCAAGGCTCCCCAGTGGAAGATGATTAAAGCTCCCAACAAATTGTACTTTCATGCAACCTAATTAAAACTCAAGCCAGCAATCTACGACATGAAGAAAAGAGAAAACTACACACCGTCTTGTACACTTCTGGGATTCCTTGAGCACCTGACACATCATAGGCCAGCCTTGGTCTCCTGGCCCTGGGGACCACTTTGCCTGAGGCAAACATGGCGCCGGGTGAATGGGATCCATCCTTGGCCCGGGCCGCTTTTCTGTGGGGAGAGCGCACGTCTGCATTCAGTCTGGTAGGTTGCTATTGAATCAGAATGCAAAGCAAATTAAAAGCCAGTGCCAAGGCCAAACGCAGTGCCTCGCGCCTGTAATTCCAGCACTTTGGGAGGCTGAGGTAGGGGGATCGCTTGAGCCCGGGAATTCAAGACCAGCCTGGGCAACATGGTGAAATCCCATCTCTGCAAAACATACAAGAACTAACCAGGTATGGCAGTACACGTCTGTAGTCCCACCTTCTTGGGAGGCTGAGGTGGGAGGATTGCTTGAGCCTAGGAGGTTGAGGCTGCAGTGAGCCAAGACTGTACCACTGCACTCCAGTCTGGGTGACAGAGGGAGTCCCTGTCTCAAAAACAAACAAAAAACAAAATCCAGTGCCAACTCTCCCCTGCTAACAAAGAATGACCATGGTGGGAAAAGATACCCCAGAGCGAGCCGTTTATCTGAGAATCAGCTTCAATTCCAGCATAACTTTCCTGACCGGATGAAGTTGTTCATATTGATAATCCTGACTCCTTCCAGAGTTCTTCAAATTCTGAAAGCCCTCCTAACTGTTCTTCCACTCCACAGGGCATGTGGCCACACAGCTGGGCCTGCTTGGGCTCTTAGAGACAGCTGCGCCAACACTTTCCTAGCTTGTCTTTGGAAGTGGGATGGCCAGGAGAGCTAGCCACGGAAAGCCCCACCACCTTGCCGTGGTGTCTAGGCCTTTCTACCAGCTAAAAGGACAGCTTCACAGTGGAAGAAAGGAACAGTGTTCTAGCTGGCCACATTTCCAGATGAGGACATACATCTACATAAAACAAGGTCAAAGGGAGGCCTGTTTTCTTTGAAAATGGCATACAAGAAGGATTTATATATATGTACAAACTTTAATATATTTATCAATCATGCATTTTATACCAAAATCCTTATTAACTGCTAGTTTCAGATAGATAGTCGGATCATGGACTCAGAAGGCAAGACTGATGCTATAAAAAGGGACTGGGAAACAATATCTGGCTCACGATTTTCAGCATTTGGAGATCAGCTTGTAGAGAGAAGGGGCAGTGTCTGTCCCGCACCACTGTGAGCCATGGCGGAAAGTAGGACAGAGACATGGGGAGAGAGAGTGAGGCCAGAAAAAGAAGGTGAGAGCCCCTCAAATAGAAACCACAGTGCACACGGCATCTGGAATCAGAGGGCACCACCTACACATGGAATGTGCACACTCACAGTCACACTCTTAGTCCTTGGGCAAGAGACCCGAAGCATGGTCTCGCACTGATGATGAGACTCACAAACTGGTGTGAGGAAGGGAGAGAGCTCAGGGGCTCACATATTAATGCTGTCTGCTTGTATTTTCATCCCTTGCCAGATCCATGAGCTCTAGACCCAAGTTAAAAGAGTGCAAAAGGGCCGGGCGTGGTGGCTCACGCCTGTAATCCCAGCACTTTGG